TGTCCCGACCTAAAGTCAATATTGGATTTTCCGGCGCGGCCGCAGGGACCGAGCCTCTCCCCAGCACGGCACAGAAGGGGCTTTGACAGCCCCAGGGGCGAGCCCGGCCGGGGGGGCCGCGCTGCCGGCACCCACAGCACCCCCCGAGCGCTGCCAGGGCGGGCAGGGCTGGTCCTGCCCAGCGAGTCTGGGCACGGCACAGGAGTCGCTGCAGTTTCGGGCTCGGGGGTTCGGGTGGTGGCCTTGCTTGGGGTGTCGTCGCTGGAGGGTGGGAGGAGCTGGGTCGCGCCTTTGAAGGGCGCTGGGGTCCTACCCTGACCCCCCTTCTTTAAGGGATGCCCGGGTATGTCCGTTCATCACCCAGGAGCTCTCTGCTCACACAATACCAGGGACGTTCAGAGCCAAAATCATCCAAACCCATCCCAGCCCTGCCCTGGGTCGGCTCCACACCTGCCAGGCGCCAGCAGCAGCTCCAGGGATGCTCACAGGAGGGGAGGGGGCCACGCCTGACCCCTGCCCCATCTCCCACACCAGGTTTGACTACCAGGAGCTGCTGCACAACTCCACCTTCTGCATCGTGCCCCGGGGCAGGCGCCTGGGCTCCTTCCGCTTCCTCGAGGCTCTGCAGGTACAGGGTGGGCAGGGGGATGAAGGGACCCCCTCAGCGGGGCGCGGGGGCTCTGTCCCAGCCTGCGGGGTCCCTCCACAGGCCGCCTGCATCCCGGTGCTGCTGAGTGACGGCTGGGAGCTGCCCTTCGCCGAGGCCATCGACTGGGGCAGAGCTGCTGTCGTGGGCAGCGAGAGGCTCCTGCTGCAGGTACCGGCTCCAGATCCTGACCCACGCCAGGCACCAGAGCCCCAATCCTAACGCCAGTGCTGGTGGAGCTCTCAGCCGAGTTTGGGGTGAGCCCCTGGCAGCTGAGCCTGGCGGTGCTCCCGTGGGCAGATGCAGGAGGGTCTGACCCAGCCTGGGGTGGGGGTCCCGCTGCAGCTGCAGCCCTGGGGCACCCCCTCGTCTCGGGGGGAAGGTGGGAAGCGTCTTCCAGGCACAAACCCTCGGGAATCCCGGGCCCGATCCTGCCTCAGGGAGAGGAGATGCAGCCCCACAGGGGGGAGGGTGACATCACAGGGGCTGTCCCTGGGGACAGGAGCCTCTGGGGGAAGCCGAGGTGAGCACCCCGTGCTCCCCTGCTGCAGATCCCCTCCGCCGTGCGCTGCATCCACCCGGAGCGCGTGCTGGCTTTCCAGCAGCAGACCCAGTTCCTGTGGGATGCCTACTTCTCCTCCGTGGACAAGATCGTGCACACCACGCTGGAGGTGAGCCCCCCACCCCGAGCCCCCCTCCCGAGCTGCCAGGGC